AATCATTCAGCAAATCATTATGGAGCACCTACTGTTTATCAGGCAGTCAACAGAGGCTATAGACAAAAATGACTAAACAATATCAATGGGCCCATCTCATTGTGAATCCAAGAGGTATTAGCATCCCTCCAAAAAATATCTTTTTATTTGGGGATTATTCACACTGAATTCCTTAATGTGAAGCACATCACATTATTAATATTTCTAAAGAAATGGTTTTCTGATATAATTGAATGCCAAATATGAATACTAAATGGCAGCATCAGTGCAAGTTTCTAGTTATTTTCACACTAATTTCATGCTGAAAAACCACACGAAGGCTGACAATTTTGTATTTGATAAATGCCTAATAAACGATGAGAGGTTAACGTTCTGAAACTAATGTTTTCTGAGGAAAAATGAGAAACAAATATTAAACTCCTAAGCTTATTCTAAGAAGAATAAGCCCTAAATATCTTCCCAAGAGAATCTTCACTTACAGTCTAAAAATGAGCATTTGAATTAAATTTATATATGATTTCATTAAAATTAATTTCTTTACATACATATTGCTGAAAACAATCTGTTTCACAGAGGTTTTCCTTTGGAAAAGAAAGCAAACATAGATGTTGTGTAAGGGAACCAAACTGAGACTTTTCACACTCTGTGCTTGGGAATTAACTTACTGCCAGGAGATGAGTAAGGGATTCAAATTTAAAAATGGCTTCAACATCACTTCTTAGAATAGTTCTGAGAAGCAAAGGTGGCCTTTCTGCAACTCCTAAAATTGTTTCATAAAATAAACACAACAAAAAAGTACTTTCATCGTGGAAGAATAGATATGTTTTAGAGTTCAAATCTGTGCATTTGTTTTGTTTTGCTTTGTTTTTGTTTTTTTGAGACAGGGTTTCTCTGTGTAGTTTTTTTTTTTTTTTGGGGGGGGGGAGGGTGCTTGTCCTGGATCTCGCTCTGTAGACCAGGCTGGCCTCAAAATCACAGAGATCCACCTGTCTCTGCCTCCAGAGTGCTGGGATTAAAGGCGTGTGCCACCAATGCCCAGCTGAACTCTGTGCATTTTTAATTACCTCAGTAAATCTATAAAGGATGGTTAATCTAGAGAAAGCTTAACACAAAGATATTTTTAAAGATATTATTATTATTCAGGCCCTGAAGAATATCTTTGAAAAAGTAGTATTCGCTATAGATTAACACCTCTCAATTATAAAATATGAGTAATAACTGCCATGTAGCAATTAGGTTAAGCTTATCAGTATATGTAACAAACATATTATCTAATTAAAGGTTAACAATATTCTATGACAGGCATGATTTTTCCTATCGTGTAGTTGTCAAAACCAAGACTGAAACTGTGGCTATTCAGAAAAGAATCCAGGGTAGAATTCAAACCCACATCCTTAGACTCTCATGTACAGGTTCAAAGGCAGATGCTGCTTATGGGTAAGCATAGCTGAGGCCCTTTCAATATATCCAAGAGTAAGTCTTGTGAGGTACAGAATGGTTTCATGCAGCAGAAATAAAAACAAAAGGGACCCTTTACATGGAAACTTGAGAGTTCTATTTTTTTTAACAAAACATAAATTAGAGAAAAATGCCTCAGCTGAATACCAGCAGACAGCAAGTCCATTTTGTATTTCTTCTTTTCCCTTTTTCCTCTTTGTCTGCCTCCTTCCTTCCTTCCTTCCTTCCTTCCTTCCTTCCTTCCTTCCTTCCTTCCTTCCTTCCTTCCTTTCTTCCTTCCTTCCTTCCTTCCTTCCTCTCTCCCTCCGTCCCTCCCTTTATCCCTTCCTTCCTCCTTTCCTGCCAGCCTGCCTGCCTGCCTTCCATTTTTGGCCCTAAAAATATTTCTTTTAAATTGGGAATTCTGTATACAGACATAAGAAGACCCATAACAAAATGGCAGTAAGAATTCACAACAGGCAGCTGCTTTGAAAAATGCCAGTGTAATTTACTCTGAAAAACACCGACCCAAAGCTGTTTTTGTAGAATAAGATGAACAGCTTATATTAATGCTAATTGAAATCCTCATATCCACACATACCATGCATAAAATTTACTTCTACAGTTATTCTTTCCACCTCAAAATTGCAGTAGGTCCAATGCCAGAATACTAGCTTTTTAATTTGAGCATCCATGCATGCAAATTGATACTTTTTTGGTGATTATGTTGACAAATTCAATACAGGTGAAATCCCACTGTTTGTAAAATGGACAAAGTTTTAAGTGTGACCATTCAAAAATGATGAAAACTGAATCTCCTTGCTTAAAAGCATCTAATTCAATCCAAAAATGAAATTTATAATTTCATAATATTTTTCACTTCAGTAACAGCATCTTAATGAATGTGGCACTAATATATGCCATCAAGATTTCCCAGACTTTAACTTCCATATATAAACCAATACATTTAGATGAATAGTACAATTTTCTTTATATAAACAATTAACATGATTCCTCTGTATCTATATAAAAATATGTATATTTCCATTTATATATGTAGAGAGATTATATACATACATACTGTTTGTGTGCATACTAGACATATTTTAGGCAAGTGTCTAAATACTTAGAACAAAGGTACAATGCTCTTCAAGGTTAATTTATAAAGTCTAGATGTAGAATTGTGTTAGCCGGGTAGTGGTAGCTCATGCATTTAATCCTAGCACCTGGGAGGCAGACACAGGCAGATCTCAGAGAGTTTGGGGCCAGCCTGGTCTAGAAAGTGAGTTCGAGAACAGCCAGGACTCTTAACATAGAGAGACTCTGCCTCAAAAAATAAATAAACAATAAATGAGTAAATGAATAAGAAGAATTGTGTTAGTTTATTAAATTCAAAATATCAATACTTTGAATTACTATATATACTAGTGAATTTGAGACTGTTTCTCTAGATAAAAATAATAACAAATCCTTTAGTATAATGAAACTTGAGGTGTGTTATTGCTCCTTTAGTCTTGAACTACAAAGCATGGTCAACTGCAGTTTTGTTTTTGTTTTTGTTTTTGTTTTTTTTTGGGGGGGAGGTTCACTAGAAACTACTTCATGCCTCAGTGGAGTAAACAAAAAGGCTACATATCATTCATAAACAGAGTTATCACAGAAAAATAAAAATTTTCATTTAAGAAGATCACAGCTGTGAGATATGGACTTCACACAATTCTCCAAATTACTGATTGTGTTTGGGTTCTCAACTGAAAGTACACTGAGTTTAAGAGCCTTACCAGCATGTGGTACAGCTGGTAATGTAGTTTAGGAGAGTAAACTTTTTTTTTTTCAAGATGCTAGAACTTGTTTCTGGAAATACTGCAGACCAGGGTTCTCTTTGTAGAAAAGTTAATGCAACATAATATCAGTATTGCTAATTGTGGAAAGACATGATATCACTCTGATTGAAGCTGCTTAAGGATTACAGAAGATGCTACCAAATTGTCAGTTTCTTTGAGGAAGAGTTGGAAAACCATTTTTCATTTGTGCATTCAACAAAAGCCTATTGAGCCTTATTTCTATAAACACAATATTAATGTCTGAAAAGAAATAATGATCAGATATGAATATAATACAAAGGTGGGTGAAGCAAGCTCATTGGAAATAATGAATCTAGTTCTGTATGAGTATTCTGTCTAATGGGGTAAATTAGAGAGTAGAATGGCATGCTCCTAAAGGTATGGCACATTATTCAGAAAATGAGAAATAGTAAAAACTAAATTCATTTTTAATTTATTTTTAATTTTCTTCAAGACAGTGTTTTTCGTGTAGCCCTACCTGTCCTGGAGACCACACTGGCCTCAAACTCAGTGATTGATCTGCCTCTGCCTCTGAGTGCTGGGATAAAAGGCAAGTGCCAACACTACCCAGCAACAACTAAATTCTGATTGAAATAAATAATATTTAATTATTATATTACTACCCAAATCCAGACACTTATAGCCATGTTTTCCAGTACACTTTAACTTGGACAAAGGTATTATGGCATGTTTCAAAATTAAACTTTTACTGACTTATTTTTTTATTTACTTTTGAGATAATGTCAACCTTACTCAGATGGGTGTTGAACTCCTGGCAATCTTCCTGTCTCAGCCTCCCAAGTGCTGAGAATACAGGCATGAGTCATCATGCCCCCCCAAAAAATCTAATAATAATAAAGATGGCTGGGTGGTGGTGGTGCATGCCTTTAATCCCAGCACTCAGGAGGCACTGTTGTGACTTTGAGGCCAGACTGGGCTACAGAGTGAGTTCCAGGAAAGGTGCAAAGCTACACAGAGAAACCCTGTCTCGAAAAAAACATAAATAAATAAATAAATATATAAATAAATAAATAAAATCACTGAAGATTTTTACAATAATCTTTATATAATATTAAAAGTCAGTAGTATGTTCCAGAAGGGGGAGCCATTTAAAAAATTGAAATTAAAGATTATCTCAGGTTTAATCATGATGTGTTTTGAATGTCATTTATTCAAAAATATGAATCACAGTACTTATGAGTTGCTAAGTAGGTTTGCTGAGACACATGTACTTTAAAATAATCCATACTTCTCTAGGGGTTGGTCTTATGTAAGGAACTTTGTGGTTTAAAGTTGTTGGTACCTAGCTTCAGCAGCATTATGCCAAGTTAACCTTTGGATGTGTTCCAAATAGAAAAAAAAGCATTCTCAAGAACATTCCACAAATAGTGTGAAAGGGCACTGTGCAATCTTAGCAGAAATTTTATATATTTCATTATAGAAAGCAGTAACTGTATGATAATGGCAAATAAATATATTTTAAAGAAGCAGGATGATGTAGGAGACAAACTATATAAAGAAAAGGACCTTTCTCATAGGCCCATCTTCTTAGCGAGAGAAAAAAGAAAAACAAACTTTCTAAAATGAAAAGACGATGCATATTATTTGGGAGATAGTCAGGCCAGAAGATTGCACAGGGAAGTGAACAAAATCTCAACAGTCATCATATTGAGAACAAATGGTAGATTTCCTCAGAAAACTACCCCAAATCAAACTTACCTGATCTACTATCCAGAGGTCCGAAGTCCAAAGAGTATTTCACAACATGGTAGTTATTCCACACATAAAGCAGATTGTCCCTGGGGTTGTAATCCACAGCTGCTATGTATTGGTAGGAATTGGGAAAAGGTACATCCACCAGGCTATCCTTGCTTTGGTCAGTGTTGTAAATGTAGTCAATCTTATTACCAGTGGCCTCATTGTCATCGTCCTCATATACAGATTTGACCACATACAGAATTCCACAAATCATAAATGCATTGGAAGCTGACCTTTTGTCATATGCAGTGTCCCATGTCCCCTCAATCCGTAGGGTATAAGGGTTCAACTGGCTAATGACAATTTTGCCATTGTTTTGTTCTGTTGCATAGATTACCCATAATCCATTTTCATCCACTGCTAAGTCTATATCAGATTTGCCACCCCATCGGTATGGGGATGTGTCGTGGTAATTGGCATTTGCTATGATTGCCTCTCCACTCTTTATCCTAGTCCGTAAATCAAACTTTACTATGTTCCTGGTACGCTCCTTGTTGAAGAACAGGGCACCATCATATACTACAAATCCAGTGCCATCCACTCTGTGAGGGAGCTTGTAGGTAGTTGTTGGCCTTCCAGCAATGAAGTCATCTTTGGATGAATACTCTGTCAGTGTATCAGTTCTGTATGGGGTCCAGGGCATATAATAAATCTTGTCGGAAGCCTGTAGAGGGTCTTTGCACCATGCCCCAGATTGGTGGTCAGATTCAAACAAGTGTTCACTCTGGTACACTCCTTTTAGCAGTCCAGGACAAAGAAAAACTGTCGGGAGGGAAAGTTATAATAATAAATACATTAATTGAATCTCTTTTCATCTGTTCTTATTCTCAGCTAACAGAATGCAACTCCAACAAGCGATACCCACCACCACTTATTTTGTGGCATTACTGTTTGTGATACAAAGCATTTTTCCACATTAATTTTTGGACTTTTGCCTCCAAACAATCTGATGCCGCTTGTTGGAAAAATGTTAGCCTTTTTAGAAGCAGCCGTGCTTTCCTGATTTTTAGCCTTGCAAACACATATTTTGATGTATGTCTGAAGTGTAGCATTATGTCTATGAGTTCTATAGACATATAACAAAGTACCAAGTTCACACAGGATGCTCTTATTAGTTCATTGAAGAACTGTGTCTCATTGGAAAATGATAATCCATTGCTTCCACTCAGATGAAATTGGCTGTTCAACAGTTATTTATCATTAAGAAATTAATAGCCCACATTATTATTATTTAAAGAAAAGAAAAGAAAAAGATCTGCAACACGGGCCACTGAATCTTCTAGCAAAAACAACAAAAAAAAAAATTTAATAAAAAAAAAAAAAAAAAAAAAAAAAAAGGCTCTCAAAGCTGCGGCAACACACACAGAGCATGCAACCCATTCAATTAAAGATGAGTGATGGATGGATACTGGAAGGAAAAAGAGAAAGGGAGAAAAAGAAAGGAAAGGAAGAAGAAAAGAAGAAAAGGTGAAAGGTTACAGAAAAGAACCCAGGATCTAGATTTTAATCAGTTAAAAAAGTCCTGTTAAGTACAGTATTATTGGAACTTAAAAACATGTACCTTTTACTGTTACATGAGAAAAGCATTGAAAAAAAAAAAACAAAGATTACTTGCTATATTTTGCTGCTCATACTTCAGAAGGAAAATGGGCAGGAAGTGTCTGATTCTTTTTGTTGTTTAGTATGATTCACTAGAGAACAATGTAAGTATGGTGGTAAGAAAGCTTGGCAGGTTCATCTGAAATGAAGGAGCTACAAAGCAACGATTCCCAAAGGGTGGTTCTTGAAGCGGATGTGACACAGCTGGATGCTGCACATTAGGAAAAAAGGGAACTGTAGCCCTTTATGACAATTCAATTATGGTATGAGATAGGAAATAAAACCATGGTAGGGATCATAATATCAGTACATGGATGAATCTCTAAATCGGAAGTTGGGTGAATGAACAGGTTGCACAATTTGATCCTGGGAGCCTTTCCATGAAGCCACTCTGGATGACTGTGTTTTCTGCTGAACCTGCTCTGGGAAGCGTTGCTTGCATATATTTGCAAAGCAAACACACTGAAAGAATCACCATGCAGTCCGCTGTTAGGTTTGAGATGATTAGAATTTTCCTGGGTGAAAAAAGTAGGAAGTCACAAGGAATTGGATGCTGACCTGCTTTTCAATAAATAAAGGATTATCCTTTGGTGTTAGTGATTAGCTCCTTAGTATTAACTAGAAACACAGATCCCCTGGAAAACAGTCTAGGAGGAACCTCATCTATGCATTAATGATGACTGAAATGAAAGGACATTCCTAAGATATTCAAAGTCTTAATTTTAAAGAAATGAAAAGTTTTCTGGCAAAAGTTGACCTTCAAATTCTGAAAAGATAGGGGCCACTATAAATTGTGATCAAAAACAATACTGAAGGTTTTAAAACTTAGGAATTTTAATATGAAGACTTTTACTATAAGCATGAGTCACTCTCTGACTCAAACATATAACCTTATGTTATAATTAATAATGGGCCCATGGCTACTAACAGTAGATGAGATTGTGTGTATTCAGAGTGGTTTGGCCACAGACACCAATGTCATTCAAGATAATTAAGAAGAGTATCTTCTCCCCTTTCTCCAGTAGTTAAGAGGTAATGTAGAAGGAGAAACACAGTACAGCTATGGGAAATTAAGAGAGAATGAGGGACAAATCTAAAGCAATCATTATTTACCATGCCCACTGGATTTCTAATTACTAGTTTCAAATAAAGAGGAATAAAATAAAGTGTTGATGATTGTGTAATATTAATAATTCGTGTTAGGTATAAGGATTAAACCAGCAGTGGTCAGTAAAACAGATTAAAGTGAAGTTGAGCAGCAGAAGTAGTCAATAAATTTGCATAAAATAAGAATTAATAACAAAATTATTTAACTAAATGTTAAACTGTTAAATAACTTAGCCTATAAATATTATATAATTTATGAAAGGTATTTAATTACCTTTTTGTTCCACTTCTATTGGAGAGAGAGAAGTAAAGAGAGAAAGGAGAAAAGAGAATAGATTAATGGTACGGTATTGGCCAAGCACTTTTTATTCACCTTTTCCAAACTGAAAGTAAATCATTTATTGCAGTCATGCTTGCTTAATTGAACTCTCTGTTTAATTTAAAAATTTCACCAAAAGAGATATTTTAAAAATAATCATAAGCTTTAAAATAAACATCAAAATTACTGTAAAAAAATAATATGGAAAATGCAAATAACAATTACAAGAAGACCAGTAGCGACATTTGAAAGGGAGGTCAGCAAGTTTATACGCTGGAACTTTCAAACAGTTTGGTTAGTTTCACTTACAAACACTACAGCAGATACCACATCTTAGCAGAGGAGCTCTGCTTGTTTTGCAACTCACAAAGGGAGCCTTTTCAGAGGAGACTTTTCTGCAACTCATTTCTTGGAACCATCGGCTTGGGATAGCTCATCAGAAATACAACTTGTGCAGATACAAGCAAATGGAGGAGGATCCTGACCAGAGTAAATGAATGCATGTGGAATCCTCACTGAACAAATTTCTCTTCAACCTCTCAATATTTGACACTAAGATGGAAAAAATATTGTCTCACAAAAATCTTCAGTCAGTATACTATACTGTCTCTGGCTTTTTCTGAAATTCTTAACTGAAGCACTATTTACTTAAAACAGGAGATTCTGAAACATTTTATTCATATGTAGGCCTTATGACTTCTAAAGGTTCTTATAAAAGTTGGGAAAACGTATCATATTCATGAAACATTAACCGGCACCTTCATTACCTTATAGACATGTATAAATAAAGTTGCCTACATCTTAATGAGCAAAGGGGGCCAACCTGGAAAAGGCAAAGATTTGGGGGAAGAATGGGTTCATAACCCAAATATGAAAATTCAGAGTCCAAATGTTGTCAACCTATGGCAATTTCAGTAGAAAGGGATAAATTGATGATTATCACATGCAAATAAACTGAACCCTCTACTGATATTTCAAAAACAAACAATAAATACTGGGTTCAGGTAATTATATTTGGGTTCCATTTCTATGCTTTGACATGAATTCTTATGGTTTTAGTATTCAAAATAAAACTTGTAAATTCCTTTGATAGTATAGTATCATACATTAGAAGCAAAAGTGGTATGTATATATGCATACACACATAGGCATACACATATACAAATATACATATGTATCTTCATAGAAAAGTTGCATCTTACTAATTTACAAATCTAATTTTCAACACTACTTCTACAAACCCTCAAAAACTCTATTACTGTATTGTCACCATCCTCACTTATTCTTTATTAAATGACTATTAGGCTGTGGGTCAATATGGACCCAAGGGAAGCCTTATCTAGGAGGGGTCCAGCTGAAGAGGAAGGGTAGTAGTGCCAGAGCGGGCCAACTCTCAGGATGAACTCATTCTGTTGTGATAGGAATAGGCCTTATCCTGGAACAATCTTCTCCCGCAGCTACAACACGGGATGTGAGGGCAAGAAAAACAAGATGCCCAAGAAGAATGCAGTTAAGTCCAGTGTCTGTTTCAGGATAACTCCAATTTGCTGAGGCATGAGCTGCAGGAAAAGACAGAGGGCAAAAGGCGAGTGGCCTTGCTGCCCAGACTCCTGCTGCCACCCAATAGGGACCCTAAGTCAAGTAAGTTTTGTATTTTTCATTACTGGACAAATATGATTATGGTGGTATTTTATTTGTACTGAAATGTGATTTTCATTGTATGTTAATAAATAAAGTTGCCCAGGGGTCAGAGCTATTAGAGCCATAGCAAGAGTGTGGTGGTGGTGGTGGTGGTGGTGGTGGCGCACGCCTTTAATCCCAGCACTTGGTAGAAAAGCTAGGTAGATCTCTGTGTGTTCAGGGATACAGCCAGCATTGGAGACATACACCTTTAAGACCTGGAGGGCGGTACTTACAGGCAGTGACGAGGCAGTCATGTGTTTGGGTTTACAACCAATGAGAAGGCAGAACAGAAAGACTATTTAAAGACAGACACACAGGAAGTAGCTCTCTTTCGGAAGTTAGGAGCACTGCAGGAGGTAAGATTTTAGCTCTGAGCTCTGACCTCTTGGCTTTCTCTTTTACATTGGTTCTGTGTTTCTTATTTTAATAAGACGGTTGGTTACATCTACATATGATTGCTAACTCAGCTTGGACATCTATGCCTGCTGCAGATCAACAGGCCTCTATTACAGCTCATTTCAAAGCACTGAGATGATATACCCTTTAATTCTAGTTTAAAAACAAATAGTTCTACTTAAAAGATGCACTTCAAATTTAGACTAAAAACAAAAATGTATTCAATCTGACAATGAGAGGAAGCACAACTGGCAACATAAAATTGCTTTCATTGAGAACTTCAAAGTTTGAAGTTGATGCTTATTACAATAAAGACAGAGCTTGGGAATGTGGAGTTGACATTTTTCAATGCCTAGTCTAGGAAGGATTTCCACCTAAATGATTCCTTGATTTTTTTTCTTCCCATACCACTTTGAAAATTACTTATGGAATATTTATATTCTAAATACCAAAACTACATTGAAATTATTCCTTAGAAGAAACAACCTAGTGTGTCTGTTAGTGATAGTTAAGTTGTTTCAAAGATTTATTTATTCATTTGTGTGTGTGTGTGTGTGTGTGTGTGTGTGTGTGTATGTGTATGTGTTCGTCCATCCATCTGTCTGTCTCTCTATTTGCATGTATACATTAGTGCTGGGCAAGCCCATGGGAATCCCTGGAGCTGGAGTTACAGATGTTACTGGGCTGCCTGATGTGGGTGCTGGGAATCCAATGGGGTCCTCTGAAACAGGATTAAGCACTATTAACTAGGAGGTGTCTCCCCAGACCCATGATAACTTTCCTCACACCTGCAAAATATATTTATTTTTAAATTTGGATACTATGGTATATTTTTAAAGTTAGAAATAATATGCATCTACTATATTGAGTGAATAGTCTCTTACATATCGATATTTACTTTTTCAAAGATATTTGACTTCTTTTATCCCAACTCAAATTTGGTAAGATTTTAATTTTAATCTTTTGGTGTTAGTCTTATTTCTAGGAATTTGGCATGCCATGTAGAGAAAGCCATTCTTGCTTTGTTACTTACTGGTACTCAGAATTAAGATTGATTAGGCAGTTCTGTTTGGGAGAATAATTACTATGGTCTTGCCATGTCGTGACTGGCTGTAACTCATTCATCATTTATTTGCTATTTTTAAGGCTGAAGTAAAGCAGTCCTATAATTTAAGTTGAAACAAGCTCACACAAATCATATTTCCATAACAAAAACTGGCAAGACAACATAATTTGTCAGTAAAAACCTTGGTAACATTTAGCATTGGCCAGCCTTAGCCAATTCTGAATCTGATGCTTAGAAGCTAACCCATCCTGGAAAATCAGATTAAATGGAGACAAGAAACAAGCATATGACTGTGTCCTGTGGGAACACATAGTTCATGGCACACAGGAAATATCTAATTAATAGCTCATGAATTAAGTACATGATACAAATGATGGTAGGTATTTTTGTGTTTTGGTATTTGGAGCATGGTGGAAAATAAGTGGTGCACCACATAAAACCACAAAATCTATTTCATTATCTATGTAAGATATTTCAATATTTTAATGGATGTGGAGGAACATGAAAATACATGAGGAAGTGATAGCCCCAACCTACTCAATGTAAAGTTGGAGAGAAACAGCACAGGAGTACGTGGAAGGTCTTGCATGTTGTACTGATAGGAAAACTGCTTTACTTAAACAAAACAGACTGCAACAACCTAAAAATACAGGCCTCAAAGTGCTCCCTTCTCTCTTCTGCATGATGACATCATAAATCAATGAATTGTATGGTGACAACTGTGGCTTAGCCCTCTGCAGAATCTCCTGCCTTTTAGCTGGTCCAATATCCTGAATTCTGACATTATAGCTGTCATTTCTCATTTCCAAATCTCTTTGGAAATAATTCTCTGCCTTTTCTCTCTTCACTTTTAATCCTGAAAGTATTTTTATTGTCCATTCAGACTCAGTAAATATGTTTATATATTTCCTTAAAGTGATTTCATTGCTGTCCTTCATCACGCATAATGCCATAAACTATATCCCATGGTTTGAGCAAATGTCAGATTCAAATAAAGGATAACTTGATTCTATACACAAGGAAGACACTGGAAAAGTACCAATTAGTATATTTTTCTCTCAACCTTCAAGGGTTCATAAAACAGATAGATAAGAAGGCATTTTGTTTATCAAAATAAGATATTACCAGTTCTAACAATTTCTGTACCCTGTGAAATACTTTAGTATTGCATTCTTTAACAAGAAAGGGTAGGGATCTGAGAGTGTACAGAGACATTACAAGCTTTGTCACATTGCCTTGCAAATTACAGAAAAACAACTTCGTTGTGTGCCAAAAACTGTTAATGCCTTAATTGAAATCTATGCAATTGTATCTAATTCTAAATATTAAATTTTCTTTTCTAAAAGTGTGAGTTATAGAGTATACCTTTTCATCTACAATTTAAAGATTCCAATGTTACAGTCTCATAATGTCTCTATTTCTTCAATGTGCAAATAAAGATACAGGGAATATAATATAGTTATAAACTATGAAATATTTTATAAGCAAATAATCTTTTTACTGAAGCACAGTAGTATTTTAAACAGAAATATTTTTCTTGTTACATACATCTTAGAATGCTGAAATATACTTGGACAACCTCTCCACATCCTGAGTAATAACAACAACAAAACATCATTTTTGGAGAAAAGTTTGCTGGTGCATTATACTTATATATTCATCTATATAAGCACAGGCTAAGTCCACAATAATAGTTTCTACCTAAAAAACACATCATAATGTAATGAAATGGCCTGATTCAGGTCATCAAACAATATTGGGATATGGTGTTTATTATTCCCACTAGAGAAGAGTGAACAAGAATTTGAAAGGTTAAAGGACTTGA